ATCAGAATAGAGGGAGGAAGAAAGAACTGTGGTACTGAAACCTTTAAGTATAATGGTTATGATGTATTTTTCATATAAATAAACACTGGCCAATGCAATGATTGGACATTTAGACCAGTGGCCAAGAAAAGTAATTTATTCCTGGAACGCTTCTGCTGAAACACTGAAATCAATATACTACTACTTTCCTTTTAGAAGTTTTATACCTTTCAAAGGTGTAAACATTTAAATGTATTGAATCATAAGATAAGAGAGACTGCTTTTTTCTTCATAAAAGCAAATAGGTATATTTATTAGTTTGTGTTGTTATTGTGGTCGTGTTCAGATTTGTCAACCCCATGTGACATAGTTGTTGTTGTTGTTGTTAAGTGCCGTCGAGTCGGTTCCGACCCATAGCGACCCTGTACAAGGTTTCCGAGGGTGTAAATCTTTATGGGAGTAGAAAACCTCATCTTTCTCCCACGGAGCAGCTGGTAGTTTCGAACTGCTGACCTTCAGGTTCGCAGCCCGATTCGTAACCACTACACTACCAGAGCTCCTTATGTGACATAGTAGGGTTTTCTAAACTGTAATCGTTATGGGAGTAGATTCCTATATTTTTCTCTTGGGGGATCACTTGGTGAATTTAATTTGAACCATCAACCTATCTGGTAGTAGTTGAGTGCTTAACTACTGTGCCACTATCTGTTACATTGCCTAAAAGTTTACCCTTTCTATGTCTGGAGTTCTGGTGTGGTGATCTAGAGTAAGTACTGGACTGATAACCACAAGGTTGGCAGTTCAAATCCATGAGGTGCTTCTTGGAAACAGAGTCGCTGTGAGTTGGAACGACTTGATGGCACTTAACAGCAGCAACAACAACCTATTATTGTTTTGGGAGCACAGTGGGTCCATAGATAAGCACTGGACTGTGAACCACAAGGTTGACAGTTTGAGCCAACCAGCTGCTTAGCAGGAGGAAGATGAGACTCTGCTCCCACAAATATTTAAAGCTATGGAAACCTGATACAAGGTTGTTATTAGTCGGAACCAACTTGAGAGCACTTAACAACAACATATTAGTGTCTAGGAGCCTTGGTGGCGCTGTAGGATAAGCTAACCACGAGGTTGGCAGTTCAAATCTCTGTGAGAGAAAGATAGGCTGCCTGCTCCCATAAAGATACATAGCCTCCAAAACTGTATGAGTTGGAATTGACTTGATGGCTGCAGGCTTTGGGTTTTATAGTAATGTCTAAAACATATTCAGATTTTCAGTTTGAACAAGACATAGTTCTTTATGTATTGGGCTGCTAACCTCTAGGTTGGTGGTTCAAACCCTTCAGCTGCTCCATGAGAGAAAGATGAGTCTGTCTGCTCCTGTAACAATTTAGTCTCAGAAATTCAGAGGAACAGCAGTTCTACTCTTTCCTATAGGGTCAACTTGATGTCAGTGGGTTTGTTTTGTTTTTTATATTAATGCTGTATTTCTGTTACTACTTTGAATGATCAAGAAACAGAGCTTGTCCCCTATAGTATAGTTTATTTGATCTGTATCTTAATAATAATAAAATTGGTACTTAGTATAAGAACTGTGTGACCCCCTTTGTGTTCCCCCACTTCAGATAATTTAAGATGATCTCTGCTGTAGTCTAAAGAGTATTTATAGTACTTAGGGAGAAAGTTCAGACTCTGACTTTACCAAATAATAGTTTTATGAAGTGATTTTGACTTTATAATTGCTTCTTTATCTGATAAAGAAAAAGGGTAAGTCAGTTTAGGCAATCTGAAAGACTTCAAGTGTAGTCTGGTAATATTGCTTCATTTGCTACAAGTCACAGATAAAATAGGGCTCCTGTGCTGTAACATATATCATATTTTTTCAAGGACATTGATGAAGAATATTTACTAAGAATGTGGCACCAAACATTCATATCCGTATCCAAAGTTATGTGGCTATGCAGACTAGAACCTGAGTCTTTTGGTATTAGTCTGTTGTTCTTTCCACTTAATATAATGGTTGAGTCCATTAGAATTTCTCTAGTTCTATAATTTATTTCACGGAGTCCTTGTGTGGCTTTGTAGGCTAGTGTGTCAGACTGCAAAGTTACTTGAACTGCAAGATTGGTGGTTTAAGCTTACCAGATGCTCGTTGGAAACCCTATGCAGGGTTGCTATGGGTTGGAATCGACTCGACGTCACTTAACAACAACAACATAATTTATTCCAGTAACTACTAAAATATAGTGTGCATGTTTATTTAGAAAGGTAATTTTAATTGTGAAACAGTATTGATTCCCATTATTTGTGTAACTGTATATGTGAATCACCTACTTGACTACATTTTATTTGTAATCACAAAATCAATAATTTACACATTTTTACTGTCATTCAGGGACATGCATCGAGGAGTTGAAAATTTGAGTTATCCGATGTACATGTTTCCAGTTATGCTGAACAGAGCCATGCTCTGCTTTTTCTCACCCCCCCACCAACGTTCATGTTGTAAGGTGACTTCAAAAAGTTCATTGGAAAAATGGGATTAAAAAATAATGGAATTTTTCTGTGAACTATTTAAAGTCCCCTTTTATAAACAAGTGTCCACTTTGTAGTTTATTTGGTGCCACATTTAGGTACAGGGAAGCTGTAATGTGACTTTCGGAGAAAATATGTGTGCTGTGTATGTTTCACGCATGACTTATAGTGTTGTCAGTCTTGAGTTTGCTGTTAATGAATCAACAATAAACTACGTTCAGGAAAAGGAAGAGTTTCAGGAAAAGGAAGATATCTATATGTGATGCAATTACAGAAAACCCTAAAGCAACATCTATAGTATGTCATGAAACAATGGAAAAGATTGAAAAGGGGTAAAATTTGTGATTTCATGAGGGGACTGATTAAAAAAAAAAGCATAATTGTAAAAATGACATGGCAGACCAGTGTCTGATATCCTCATCTGACCTCACTAGGGGAAAGAAGGATCATTGTCAGCATCAACAGCCCAAGGCTCATTCTTATGAAGTTAAAGTCAGATATTCTTCCTTTCTCCAACTTTTTTTTTAACCAATTCTGACAGTAGCTGCCCTTCCCACGGCATTCTCTACTTCTCAGTGTTTGATACTTGGTTGCAGTGACCACACAGAATTTACAACCATACTCACAATTGTGAGATTTATTTAGGGAAGTAACAGGTTATAAATCAAGATTAGAAACGACTCAGGATACAGTTCTTTGATCATGACAGCCTCTCCTTAGCGATGCCCATGGGCAGGTCTGCCCCACCACCTGGACTCTGCCCTGCTCTGGCAAGTGTTACAAAACTTTTTTGCTCTGTCAGTAGATGCTCAGAAGCACACCAGTTTACTTGAGTTGCTCAGTTATAGCTCCTAATTCTCTCAAATGCCTGGAGATGTCCTATTCTACCAGAAAGCCTCCTCTCTGAAGGTGTTTCAGTTTCTTGTTCTGTGACGCGAGAAAGCCCCTTATACTATGCTGTCTCCTAGCAAGCTCCTGCGGGTTCTGCTGCTGTTGTTTCTCTGCTGCGGCTGCTTCTTGTTCTCTCATGGTCTCTACTGTTACAGCTCTGTCTGCCAGTCTCATGAGTCAAGGAGATTCTCAGCACAGGGACCCTGGGTACAAAGGACATGCTTCCCTCCCAGGTTTTCTTGGTAATTGTGAGGTAATTCTATCCTTTTCTGGGATGGCTCATGTAAAGCCTCACAGGATGACAAATTGACCTTCTTAAGATCCATACATTCACATGGTTAAAAAAAATAAATAAAAGAGGAATACAGTATTAAGTATACCATATTAAGTAAATATACCATCTCAGACTTCCAAACTTTCTGAGTATTTTTTCATATGTAAGCATTCAAGCATATATTGTATGTCTCCGCAGGAGAAAGATGAGGCTTTCTGCTCCCTTAAAGATTTACAGCCTTGGAAACACTGTTGTTGTTGTTAAGTGCCGTCAAGTCAGTTCCGACCCATAGCGACCCTGTATAGGGTTTCTGAGGAGTAGCTGGTGAGCTTGTCGCTATGAGTTGGAACCGACTCCACGGCATATAGGAACAACAACAACGCATATATGTCTGGTGTTGGTGCTGTGGGATAATGCACTGGATAACAAGGTCAATTTGAACTGCAAGGTCGGTGGTTCAAATCACCAGCTGCTCCTTTGAAACCCTGTGGAGGGTTGCTGTCAGTCAGAACTGACTGGATGGCACGTAACAACAAACAACAACAATCTAAGAAAGATTTCTACATAGATTGGAACCACCAACCTTTCAGTTAGCCACTGAGCCACCAGGGCTCCATTTAACACAAATAACTGTCTGTTTTTCACACTGTTTTACTCTTTTTCTCATTTAATATATCTTGTTGTTAAGTGCCGTTGAGTCAGTTCCAACCCATAGTGACCCTGTATGGGGCTTCCAAGGAGCAGCTGGTAACCTTGAACTGCCAACCTTGCAGTTCAAAAGGCTTTGCAGTCTGGTGCATTAACACACAGTGCCACACCAAGACTCCCTAATAATATCTTAAAGATTGTTTTATATCAATAGTGACCCTGTATAGTGAGCCTCAAGGTCAACAGTTCGAAACTACCAGCTGTTCCGCGGGAGAAAGATGAGGCTTTCTGCTCCCGTAAAGATTTACAGCCTCGGAAACCCTGTACAGGGTCGCTATGAGTCGGAACCGACTCCACGGCACACAGCCACCACCATAGAACACCTGGTGTGGCACTGTAGGATCAGAGAACCACAAGGTCAGCAGTTCAAACCCACCAGCTGCTCCTCGGAAACCTTATACAGGGTTGCAGTGAGTTGGAGTCGACTCTGGCACTTAACAAAAGCATAGGTTTTCCAAAGAGTGACTGGTGGGTTTGAACTGCCACAAAGTTTCCTATTGATAGTTTGTATAAGTGCTGCTATTTCTATATGTCTTACCAGTGAACTTCTCAAAAGTTTACCTAGTTAGCCATTGCTTTTATAAAACATACTTATCTTTCCTTTTTCACTCTGTAGGAACTCATTATACAATGACAAATGGAGGCAGCATTAACAGTTCTACACACTTACTGGATCGTTTAGATGAACCAATTCCAGGTGTTGGTACTTATGATGATTTCCATACTATTGACTGGGTACGAGAGAAATGTAAAGACAGAGAAAGGCATAGACGGGTAAGTGTTTTCAGTGGTTTATTTTGAATGTGCTGTATAATTAGATCATTTAATAATATGTTTCTGCCACTGATCTCAGATTACTAATATATGTTATGCATTAAAATAAATTAAATTTTCTTATTTCACATGTGAATATATATATTTCTGTTCTTGTCTTGTTAATATAAAGAGTAGTATACTCTTTTTTAAAAAAATCTATCTAGTACTATATTAATAAACATTTAGATGATTTCCAAGTTTTGGTAATAACAGTAGTACAGTGACCATTATTGCACGCGTAAATGTTTGTGCATGTGGCATATAGAAAGTAGCAAGTATGTGTTTGTAAAATACCTGTCTGTGGTGTTGTGCAGGCAGTAATATAAAGAGAACTGCAATCACTCAGTTTGAAAGTGACTCAGTATATCATCAAACATTACTTTTGCGAAAAAGCCCCATGGGGGCTAGATTATTTTTGATATCCAAGAGGATGATTAATAATTATGCTTGGTTGCTTGTAATTTCATCCAACTTAGAATTTACTTGAGTCTTTTAAAATGGAACCTTGCTGCTTAAAATAAACCAGATGCTTGAAGTAGACCAGGTCATTGAATGTCAGCTGTAGCACTCCTGCAGAACACTGAAGTTCTAAGCTGAGAACATGACTTTTTAAAGCAATGATTCTAGTAAAACCGAAGCAGTTTGAGCTAATTAGGGATAGGTTTATAGAAGTATGTTCTTACTAAGAGAGGCAAGAATTGCCCTCTTGTGTTTTAATAGATGAAATTTGGAAATCAAATAAAAACTTCCTGTTATTGTCCTCAGTTCCTTTTTTATATTCAGCAGAAGATATTTCCTTCTACCTTACACAATGATGAAAGAGAGTCTACAGATCCTTCTAATGGGATTGGAGCTCTCCATATCTGCATATTTACAGTCCTATGAGTTTTAGGAGTCCTGGTGTGGTACTTATAGGATTAGTATTGGACTGTTAACTACCAGGTCAACAGTTCAAATCCACTGGCTGCTGTTTGGAAACCCTATACTGCACTTAACAACAAGATAACTTTTTGTTGTTGTTGTAATTAAGTGCCATCAAGTCGGTTCCGACCCATGGCAACCCTGTGTAGTGTTTCTGAGAAGCGACTGGTGAGCTTGAACTGCTAGCCTTGCAGAACAAACTGACTTTGCAGTCTGACACATTAACCCACAGCACTACACCAGAACTCCAGATAACTTTTATGGGTCTTTTTAGTCACACGACTATCCCACACTATATTTTTGAGCATGGTGCTTTCTGTTACTCACTGTTCTTACCTTTTAAAGAATATCGTAATCTAGTTAATTGCTAGGACCAGAGACAGTTCAAGTCGTATCATCTCATTTTCATTAATATAAAAAAATACTTAAATATGTGAGCTATATTTTGTTGAATTCAGCTCCTTTAAAAATAATCTAGGTCAGACTTTAAAGGGTTTATAATTGCATTCAAATCTCCTGAAGTTCTTGTTTAAAATGCAGATCTTTTGGTAAACATTTGTCATCTGGATTATAGGTCTAGCAATTGTCTGACAGTGATTCTACCCAAAAGTCACCTCTCCCATTAGTTCTGAAAGTACTGTCCCATGTGTAGTATTTAGGAGAAACTGTTAAAGCTGTGGCTTCTTTTCATAGTTTGAAAAATGAAGCATGAACATTTCTAATTTCAGATCAACAGCAAAAAGAAAGAATCAGCATGGGAAATGACAAAAAGTTTATATGATGCGTGGTCAGGATGGCTAGTAGTAACACTAACAGGTTTGGCATCAGGTAAAGTAAAATTATGAATCAATCCTTTTTTGGTTCACAAAACTGAACTATGAATGCAATAAAGCTCTCTCATCTTCACCTCAGTTTTTTTTTCTGTATAGGTAATATTGGATTTAAAAAAATATTTGTTTCTTTCTTTAAAAATTTTTCCTTAAACATAAGACTAGGAGGCAGGATGCTTTACAGTCTAGTTTTGGCTCTGTCACTTAAAGTGCCTATCCAACAAGATTAATCTTTTAAAGTTCAGTTTCTATATCCGTAAAATAACTGGTATGAACCAGATGATCAATAAAGTATTTTTGATAATAAAGTATTTTAATAATACCAAAAAACAAAACAAATCCCAAAACCCATTGCAAATTGAGTTGATTTCAACTCATAGTAATATTTATTGTGTGCTTACTATGTGTCACCCACTGCTCTCAAAAAGCTTTAATTGTATTTAAACCTCATGGCAATCCTATGATTTAAGTGTGAGGATGAAATTGGAGAATACTACCAACTTGTTCTATTTTAACAAAATGTGCACGAAGACCTGGAGTTAGAAAACCAAAAGGGAAGGACACCCTCAGCATTTCTCAAGCTAAGGGAACTGAAGAAAAGATTCAACCCTCGACTTGCAATATTGAAGGATTCTATGGGAAAATTGTTCAATGATGCAGAAAACATCTAAAGAAGATAGAAGGAATTCACAGAGTTACTGTATGAAAAAGAAATAGTCGATGCTCAATCATTTCAAGAGGTAGCATATGATCAAGTGACCCTGAAAGAAGAAGTCCAAGGTTCATTGAAGACATTAGCAAAAAGCAGAGCACCAGGAATTGATGGAAGACAAATTGAAAATCAGCAAAGTGATGTGGCACTGGAAGTTCTCACTCATCTATGTCAAGAAATTTGGAAGACAACTATCTAGCTAACTGACTGGAAGATATCCGTATTTGTGCCCATTCCTAAGAGAGGTGACTCATTGGAATGCGGAAACCATCTGATAGTGTCATAGATATCTCATTCGAGTAAAGTTTTACTAAAGGTAATCCCAAAAAGACCACTGACTTGTTCATTGCAAGTACATTTTTTAAACAACATAAAAGATGACTATACACATGAACCTCATGGGATATTCAGAAATCAAATTAACTACATCTGTGGAAATAGAGTGGAAAAACTCCATATCTTCAGCCAAAACAAGGCCAGGACAGACTGTGTGGAACAGTCCATCAATTGCTTATATGCAAGTTCAGGCTAAAGCTGAAGAAAATTGAAACAAAGCCACGAGCCAGTTCTCAGAAACCCTTAATAGGGATGTTATCAGTCATATAACTCAATGACACTTAACAACAGCTGACTGTAATTTCAAACCAAGAATATAAATTTTATTTTAAAGAAAATCTGTTAATAGTTTTTATGTGATATAAAATATATAACTAAAAAATCTTAAATGTTCTATGTATATTCTATACACTATATTCTGCTTTGTTTATAAGGAGTTACCTATTTTCTGTGAAACTCTTAACTTGACAGTTCTCAGTAGTCTCCAAAAAATTGGATGTATTTATTTCACTATCTCCTCCAATGTGTTTTTACAGGAGCATTGGCTGGATTAATAGACATTGCTGCTGATTGGATGACTGATCTTAAAGAGGGCATTTGTCTCAGTGCACTGTGGTACAACCATGAACAGTGTTGTTGGGGATCTAATGAAGCAACATTTGAAGAGAGGGATAAATGTCCACAGTGGAAAACGTGGGCAGAATTAATCATAGGTCAAGCAGAGGTAAGTTTCACTCTGTTTTAAGATGAAATAATAGTTTGTGTCTCCATAGGATAAGCACTGAATGTCAAACCACAAGGTTAGTGGTTTGAGTATATAAGCTGTTCAGGAGAAAGATGAGGCTTTCTGCTCCTGGAAACATTTAAAGCCTCAGAATCCCTATACAAGCTTGCTATGATTTGGAATCCACTCGATGGCACTTGATAACAACATAGTAAATTTAAGTTTCAATTAACTTAATTATAGAATTATATACATGTGATATAGTAGTAATTCATGTTTTTCAAAATGGGAACTGTTAGGGAGTCCTGGTGTGGCGCTGTGGGCTAATGTGCTGGACTGCAAAGTCAGTTTGAACTGCAAGGTTGGTGATTGAAGCTCACCAGCCACTCCTCAGAAATGCTATCCAGGGTTCCTATGGGTTGGGACCGACTTGATGGCACTAAACAACAACGTTCACGCTAAAGGAGTCCTCATGGTGTGCTGTAGGGTAAGCATTTGGTTTGAGTTGCCTCAAGGGTGGCGGTTCAAACTCACCTGCTATTCCTTGGAAACCCTGTTAGGGTCCCTGTGAGTCAGAACTGACTTGGCACTACTTAACAACAACATTCACATTAAAGATAAAAAGAAAAATATTGGATTAGAATAAAATGAGAAATATAAGCATACATTCTTGCATCAATAAAGAAGTAAGTATTGTTTTAGGAAGATTTTGTATTAACTTTTTAGGAGTATATGCTACTTAGTTATGAGGTAAATTGTATTTTTTACTGTGAGTTGTGGTTAAAAGAAATTGGAAGCCGCTGCAAAATAGGATCTGTGTAACCACAAAATGTGAATATCATGTAAAGTTATTAAAACTTTATTACATCACTAAGTTGCTCAGATTATTAAAAGAAAGTATAACTTGCAAAAATTTGTAAAATAATCATTTTAAGTGGCAGTTTCTTGAAGAAATTAAGAAATTTTTCTTTGTGCCATTCCAGTATTTGAGTGATTATTTTACTACTCTTGCTGCTCTATTAATAAAGAACATTCTATAATACAGGTCATAGATAAAGATATATAGTAGCATGATCATGTTGCTAAGTGCCGTTGTGTTGGTTCCAACTTATAGCAACTCTATATAGGATGGATTTTCAGGGAGCAACTGGTGGATTTGAACCACCAACCTGAAGTTAGCAGTCCAGTGCTTTCCTACAGTGCCATACCAGGACTCCCTGATCATGTATAGACATGGTTTTTAAACTTTGCTATTGTTGCACTATTGGATAAAGCACTGGGCCTCAAGGTTTGTTTGAACCACAAGGTTGCTGTTTCAAACCCATTAGCCACTCCTTGGAAATCCTATACAGGTCGCTATAAATTGGAACTGACTTGACAGCACTTAATAACAACAATAGTGGCATAGCCGAATTGTAGAACTAAAAAGAGTATATCTACTTTTAAGATAAATAGTATGCTGTTTATCACTGGCTATTTGAATTGCATTTGATTTAATGAATTCAGAATAGCAGCAGACGATATCTTAATACTTTGCCAATGCAATTTTGTGTCCACCAGCTGTTTACAAAGAGTTGTTTGTGGGTAGGCAGAGGTTGGAGTACAATTGAGATGTCCTGGTAACAGATTTTTAGGGATCAGGAAAAACATTAAATGGGTCAGAGTCTCTTCCTATGTATAAGAATATGTTTTGGCATGCTGCTGAAGTATTTTCTTAATAGAAGGTTTGTTGTTTTTCTTTAATTGTGGAAATAAGTTAGTTAAAGATTCAAGAAAGTTCCTTATGCAGCAAAAACTTTCTTTAGAATGCAGTGTAAATAAAGTCATTATTTAACTGTTTGCTTTTTAGGGTCCTGGTTCTTACATCATGAACTATATAATGTACATCTTTTGGGCCTTGAGTTTTGCCTTTCTTGCAGTTTCCCTAGTAAAGGTGTTTGCTCCATATGCCTGTGGTTCTGGAATTCCAGAGGTAAGACATGTAATATTTAGTAACAGTTTGCTAATTGTTATGACACTTGTCTTCTTGTCATTGGGTATAGGGAGGAGTACTTTTTCTGAAAAAATGATTTGTAGTATATATAAAAAAAAATTAATGTCAGCTCATTGTAGACACCATTGAAAATAATTATTCCCATTAGTCATTTCATCATTTATTGTCGAAGTTGGTTTCTTTTTTTTTCTTCTTCACTATTAATATAGTTGGTCTCTAAACAAATTTGCAGAACATTTGAATAAACACCAGTGCCTAGAAAAATATCTTATGGTCCAAAGCTCTTTGATTTATTGATGTTTCATATGATGAACCTGATTTTAGTACATTCATTCTCTTTGCATAACTGACTTTTGATTAAATTAATAATTATCTAATATGGCAGATAATATTTATAATAATTTTATACTTCAAAATGTTTGTTTGATTATAGTGGGTCAATTCTATAAACATTTAGGTCTCACTATGAACAGGAAACAATTTTAAAGTGACTGTACTTAGGAGGAAGGAGCTCGAGAAGCATAGTGGTTACGGGTCGGACTTCTAACCTCAATGTCATCAATCCGAAACTACCAGCAGTTCTGCAGGAAAAAGATGAGGTTTTCTGTCCTATAAAGATTGACATCCTTGGGAAACTCTATGCAGGGTCACTATGAGTTGGAACTGACTCCACAGCACACCACCACCACCACCACCATACATAGGATTGAACTTATTATGAACTATACTATTTCACTATACTTAAATCATTACCAGTGTTTTAAAATGTATTTCTTCTTAAAACTAAATTTCACTGAATTTGAAAGATTTATTTACAATTTTTTCATAGGTAGCAATAATTATGTAGTATTTGGCAGTTGTCTCGTATCCTTTTTGAAATATAGAAAATATACCCATAATTACTATATTTTGAGAAAGCATGATGTTTTTGTATGTGATACTGAATGTCCAGAATGTATCTAAATATTGTATTTATTTCTACAATAGAAATAGTAAAGTTTACATATTTCTTGTAATAAAATTACAATCCTTATAATTAAGGTATTCACTTTAATATGAGCCCTAGTGTGGTGTGCTGTAGAATAAACACTGCACTGTTAACCTATGACCTGCAGTTCAAGCCTTCCAGCTACTCTCAGAAAACCTATACAAGGTCACTATGAGTCAGAATTGGCAGCACACAACACAATTTACTTTAATAAGGCCTGACACTTTAATTTTATTCATAATAGAGGTATTGGCTATGAACCTCAGGATCAGCAGTTCAAAACTACCAGCTCTTCCACAGGAGAAAGATGAGGCTTTCTGCACCTGTAAAGATTTACAGCCTTGGAAACCCTGTACAGGGTCGCTCATGAGTCGGAACCGACTCCACAGCACATAACCACCACCACCATCCTTGATTGGGTAACAAATTAGAATATGATATATATTTATTTGGCTCCTGGTGTGGCACTGCAGGATAATGCACTGGAACACAAGATCAGTTTGAACTGCAAGTTTAGCAGTTCAAACCCACCAGCCACTTCTTGGAAACCCTATACAGGGTCTCTATGAGTTGGAACCAACTCTATAGCACATAGCAACAACAACATACATTTATTAAAATGTAGCATAGTAGTTAAAGTTTTTGAAAAATTTATTGTAAAATTGTTCCATAATCTTCTAAAATTGGCAAGTAGTTTTGTGACTAAAGCATAATATTAATTTAATTAAGTTCTTCTGCTTTTTAAAGAAAATTAAGATGACTTCATCTTTTCTTTGTAGATTAAAACTATTTTGAGTGGGTTCATCATCAGAGGTTACTTGGGAAAATGGACTTTAATGATTAAAACCATCACTTTAGTACTCGCCGTGGCATCAGGTTTGAGTTTAGGAAAAGAAGGCCCCCTGGTACATGTTGCCTGTTGCTGTGGAAATATTTTTTCCTACCTCTTTCCAAAGTATAGCACAAATGAAGCTAAAAAAAGGGAGGTAAGTGGTTTTTACAGTTCATTTGACAAAAAAATATATCTGTTATAGACTTAGGCCAGTGAATGATTTCTTGGTATAAAGATCACATATTACTGTTTACTTTTTGGATAAACTCAGTAATCAGATTGAAAATTTCACTTGAGATTAATTTTTGCATCTTTTTTATGTTTTGAATGATCTTTAATGTCTTTCTATAATCCTTCCCAAGTGCTGAAAGGGTAATCCTGTGTTTTAGAAAAGTTTAAGTGAAACCGAGGACTCATGGTGGCACAGTGTGTTAAGTGTTAGGTTAGTTACTAAAAGGTCAGCAGTCCAAGCCCCCTAGCTTCCCTGAGGGAGAAAGATTGAGGCAGTCTGCTTCCTTAAAGATTTATAGCCTTGGAAAATCATGAACAGTTCTGCTGCTTTTTATAGGGTCTCTCTGTCTGTCAGATTGACCCTGAGGCCTTGAGTTTTGGGTTAGCTAAATTATGTGGCATTGACTGGATTTCAATTTGAATTTCACTAAGGTCTTTCCTTTTGTTTTCACTTTGTCTAAGGTCATTACCCACTCTAAAGTGTTTTTCAAATGGAACATTGTTTTTACTGTTATTTCACATCTTCACTGTTTCACCAGGATTGGGAAGTCAAACAGATGTGTTTTCCTCCTGGAGACAGTGCTTAATGCCAGTGGATGTGGTATGTGATTTGTAGAAAGCTTCCAGCACCTGGAGGAAATTCTGAAGGCCTTTAGGACCTCCTGCTGTTGAAATCCCAGTTCACATTAAAGGGGACACAGGACATCCTGTTTATTCAGTTATAGGGCAGTTTCCTTTACCCTTTTTCTTCCCCCCTGGAGACCAACCTGAGATCTTTTAGGGAGACTTTTCAACTTCTTAGAGTTCTCCAAATGCTTTTTAGATTCCTCTGGGTATTTTCTATAACAAAAGCTTCTGAAGCCTTCTTCTATGTTAACTCTAGTCTTTGGGAACCCCAAACTAACCCCTTCCTGTTTTCCCAGACTAAATCTGCAGCCTTAAGAAGTATAAAGGTACTTTTTAAAGTTTGTAGAAAATTTTCATCATCTTTTAATTCCGTTTTTTCTCATGAACTTTTGAAGCCCCCTTGCACAAAGATCTTTGGATTTATTTATTAATTTATTTTTAGGTCTTTGGATTTTTAAAAGATGATTTTCTTTTTAAGCCTCATTTAATATTGAGGAGTTCTGGTGTGACTCTGTGGGTTAATGTGCTGTAAGGCAAAGTCAGTTTGAACTGCAAGGTCAGTGGTTCAAGCTTACCAGTTGTTCTTTGGAAACCCTATACTGGGTCGCTATTGGTTGGAACCGACTTGACAGCACTTAATAACAACAATTTAATATTGAGAGCTCAGGGGTCAAGGGTCTCTGACACAAGAATGGGACCTTTTCATTGCAACATAGTGAAAAAAATAGATGATCTTAAAAATGTTTAATTCTAGTTCATTTTAATGTTAGCATTAAAATATTGTCTGTATGTTGGCTGAAGATAATCTAAAAATGGAACACTTTTAGCATCATAGCCTCATATTGATGAGTTACTAATCAATGTGTATATATGGTATTGCACCAAGTACTTTATCTGCATTTTAGAGTTTCATTTCACAATTGATCTGTTAATCTGGCATTTAAATTACCCTCATTTAAAGACTAGGAACAACAACAAAGACTAGGAAACCAAGGTTTAAAAAGATTAACCTGCCCAACATCACCTAGCTAGTTAGAGGCAGAGTTCAGTTTTCTGTGGCTCCAAACTATACCTTGAACTACTATACTATTGTTGCCACCACTGTTGCTATTACTACTACTATGTTGGGTATGTGTTATAAAATAGAAACAAAAAACATATTTTAGCTTGGCAAGTTAGTGGCAAAGATAAACTTTACCATGTGTCTCCCCAATCCTATTTGTATACTTTCTATCTATGGCAGCTTTGCAGTTTTAAATTAAATTATTTTAGATACTTTTGAAACATTAAAATGTGTGTATGAGTTATAGGAATGTATGTGTTTATAGAAGGTTACTGGGTTGATTATAAAATACTATTGAGTTCAAAGTGGAATTGATAGTCCAGTTAAACAAATATTTTACCTGCAATTATATTAGTGGAAGAAAAACAAAATAAGTAGTCGCTGCCTTGTACAGCCAGATAGAATGTAATTGAAACAAATCATTAATTTATCAAACATTTATAAAGTGCTTCATGGATGCCAGGCAATTTATATATATTTACTCAATTACTTATCATGAAATAGGTAATATTATCACATTCCTATTATGGAGAAGAGGAAACGGAGGCACAGAACAGTTAAATTACTTGTCCTAAGTTACATAGCTAGTAAGTGGCAAAGCGAAGATTTCAACTCAGGCACTCGGTCTGGAGTATGTACCTTTAGCCCTGTAAATTTAATTTAGAATATTAAAAAATTTTCCTTGAGAAATGTAAAGATTGAACATTTGAGGAATGCCTTGGGTAGCTTCAGATTCAATTTATTGGAAGAAAATAGTGAAAAGAATAAAGATTCTTAGAAAAATAATTACAAATAAATAAATGTCCTTTGAATTGGCTTCACATTGGTAGGAAGTGGGCAATAAAATAATCAGATGACAGAATGGGCAGTTGGGAGACTGACACAGAAGAGTGTTTGTGTAGTTTTCTCTTCCTTTAACTTAATTTGTTAAAGCTCTGGTTCTGATAGGTGAAACTGGAACTTGAGTGCTAACTGTTACATGTGCTTGCAGAATGAGGTTCTTGGTATTCCCAGTGGCAGTATATTCAGAGGGCCTGTTAGTTGTTATTTGTAGTTTAGTCATTTCTAATTCATAAAGACCTTATGTCCTCTGCCCTGTTGTTCAGCACCAGCTTCGTAATGATTGCTATGTTTGAGTTGCTCTCGCATAAGGAGCCCTGATGGTGCTGTCGGGTAAGACTGGACTGCTTACCACATGGTAGGCAATTCAAACCTACCAGCCACTCCGAGAAAGATGAGGCTTTCTGCTCCCATAAAATTTATAACCTTGAAGACCCTGTATAGGTATGCTATGAATTGGGATTGTTTAGATAGCAGTTGGTAGTAGTGAGTAGGCATAGAGTAGTGAAAATGTAGGGAAACTTAGTAAATTTTAAGTTTCCTGAGTATTTTGCAACAATTTGAAATAAAGAATTAATGATGAGCTGCTTAGCTCTAAAATTGGAAGACATGATATCCTATTTAAAATTTTTAAATATTCTCTTGCCTACACCATCAAACATTTTGAAACTTGTTTATATTTATTACCTCTTGTTTTTTGACTGAATGATGAATGTATGAATGACTTTTGAATTAAAGCAAAAGTGAAAAAAATCTTTGTAGAAGAAACGAATACTTGTCTTTTCCTTGGATAAGAGACAGATATGTGAATTCAATTTAGAAGAGTCATCTGGGAAATTCAAGTGGCAGGCAGCATATTTATTTGGTGTATTTAAGTGTATACAAAAATCTGAAAAGTAGTAAGCTGCAATCCTCTTTCTAGGTGCTATCGGCTGCTTCTGCTGCAGGTGTTTCTGTAGCTTTTGGTGCACCGATTGGAGGAGTTCTTTTTAGCCTGGAAGAGGTAAGTTAAAAAAGTACAGCAATTAAAATTAAATATAATTGCTGTTACTGATTATTTTGGCATATGTTTCAGTTATATAGCTCGTTATATTAGATAAACATTTTGCGTTTAAGTTTTCAGAGTTATTTTTTAATTGTCCAAATCCTCTTTTTAAAATACTAAATTTTATGTTTTAAATTGTTAATATAGCCAGCCTCATGGTTTCAATTCCATCCTTGCATGTGGCCCCCCCTTTTTTTTTTTTAATCCCTACCAAATCCATTGTATCAATTTCTTATGAATCTTGGTTGCTATATGCAAACACAGGTCACTCGGGTTTTTCCTATTTTTTATCCATTATTACTTAAAAAGTAATATACTATACATGTAATATAGAGTCCTGGTATGGTGCTGTGGGTTAATGTGCCAGACTGCCATTTGGACTACAAGGTCGGTGATTCAAGCTTGCTTCAGCTGCTCCTCAGAAATCTTATACAGGGTCACTATAGGTCGGAACTGACTTGATGGCACTTAATAACAACAACAATACATGTAATATACCTTTAGAAGAGTCTTAAAAATACATCAACATTAGTGATTATTTAAAATACAATTTTACTTTGTTGACATATTTAAAAGAAAGCAATGTAAATTTGAACTTAATAGAAAATATTTAAATCAAACAATCTCTAAGCACTCAACTGTGATGTGGTTTTGAAGTGCAGTGTTGACAGTTCAAATCTACTGGCCACTCCGTGGAAATCCTATACAGGGTCGCTATGAGTCAGAACCAACTCGACAGCACTTAACAGCAACAACGTTTATTGGTTAAATTATAACCTATTTTCATTAAAAATTTTTCCTAAAATTGTCTTGGAAAATTCTTTTTGTGTGTGACTATTTCTGACATAGTTACTGATCTTTAAGGAAATTTTAGTTAGGTGAAATATTTTTATTTTCTTTTAAGAACTTAAGGTATTTTCCTTTTTGCATCTGTGAATGGGAAGAGTTTTATTTAAATTTGTTTTGTTCTTGTATTTAAATTTGTTTTGTTCTTGTTAAGTGCCGTCTTGTCATCTCTGACTCATAGCGACACTGGACACTGTACAAGGTTTTTTAGGAGCAGTTGGTGAGCTTGAACTGCCTACCTTATGGTTCAAACCAACGTTGCAGTCCAATTACCAGCAGTGCCAGACCAGGGTGCGTGCTCACACACACACACACACATACACACACACACACACACATACACACACTGCAGTGGTTCTGTAGGATTATAAACCACATGGTCAGCTGTTTGAGCCCACCAGCCGCTAGCTCTGCAGGAGAAAGATGAGACTTTCTCCTCTCCCAAGATTTACAGTCTTGGAAACCCTATACAGGATCGCTATGAGCCTGATAGCTAAAAGTCAGACTTGACACTAAACAACACTAACACACACATATACATACACACACATATACATACATATGTTGTTGTTAAGTGCTGTTGAGCCTATTCTGACTTATAGCATCCCTGTATAGGGTTTCCAAGGAGCAGCTGGTAGGTTTGAATTGCTGAATTTGTGGTTCGCAGTCTTGTGCTGATCCTACAGTGCCACACCAGAAGTACATACATACATACAAATGTATTTGCATACATATACATACACACACACACGTTGGTGGTGTTAAGTGTCATGGAGTTGGTTCCGTCTATAGCGACCCTGTATAGTGTTTCCGAGAAGCGGCTGGTGAGCTAGAACCACCTACCTTGGGGCTCAAATGACTTTGCAGTCCAGTGCATTAGTCTGCATCGCCACACCAGGACTCCATATATATTCCGCTCCTCGGAAAGCCTATACAGGGTTGCTATGGGTTGGAACTGACTCAGTGGCACTTAACAACAATAACACACACACATATGTGTATATATATGTATATATATGAGAGAGGAGATAATATGTAATAGGAAATTCAATTTGTATAAGCTAACAAGATTTGGTGATGATACATTTATTCGAAACTACCATTATTGCATTGGAAATAAAGTTCATCTTGAATATAAGATAATGTTAAGTACTTTAAGTATTTACTAGGTATTTATAAACCAATTGATAATTTTAAATTTATAATGTGATATCCAAAGATAATAAGACATCTTTTTTTTATTACAGTAAAATCCATTTATTGTGATTTCTAGCTGCTGCAAAATTGATAGCAATGAGATTTATCATTCTGGTTTTTATAACAAAGATAAAATTATAGCATTAATTTTCTTTTTCTTTTTTTTAGGTTAGCTATTATTTTCCTCTCAAAACTTTATGGAGATCATTTTTTGCTGCTTTAGTGGCTGCATTTGTTTTGAGATCCATCAATCCTTTTGGTAATAGCCGCCTCGTTCTTTTTTATGTGGAGTATCATACACCATGGTACCTCTTTGAACTGTTTCCCTTTATTCTCCTAGGGGTATTTGGAGGGCTTTGGGGAGCCTTTTTCATTAGGGCAAATATTGCCTGGTGTCGCCGACGCAAATCCACAAAATTTGGAAAGTATCCCGTTCTTGAAGTCATTATTGTGGCAGCCATTACTGCTGTAATAGCCTTTCCCAACCCTTATACTAGGCTCAACACCAGTGAACTGATTAAAGAGCTTTTTACAGACTGTGGCCCCCTGGAGTCCTCTTCTCTTTGTGACTACAGAAATGACATGAATGCCAGTAAAATTGTTGATGATATTCCTGACCGTCCAGCAGGCATTGGAGTATATTCAGCTATATGGCAGTTGTGCTTAGCTCTCATATTCAAAATCATAATGACAGTATTCACTTTTGGTATCAAGGTAAGTATTATTATAAAGTGATGTTTAAGTATTGTTAGCTTGTTCAAATTTATAGATGGAATAAAGAAATAAAGTTTTCATCTAAAGGTGATTTCAGAAATGTAAGCTAAAAAATTACCTTTTGGGTTTAATTTTATTAAACTAATGAAAAAAAAAGTCTTAGATTATATTGTTGAACATATTCCTGTTATATTGTTGTGTGAAAAAAAAACACCCAACTTTAACAGTTTAAGACCACCTTCCCTTCCTCCCCTCTTCTTTCTTTTTCTATTGGCTTAGAAATTTGGGAAGGACTTGGCTGGGCAATTTTTATAAGAGGTTATCATCAAACATGGCTGGGTCTGCTCATCTCAAATACTTCATCATATGTCTGGCACCTGGCCTGAGAAGACTCAGACAACTGGGACTGAAACATCCTGTGGGTGTATGGTGTGAGTGTGTCGTGTTTGTGTATACTTGTTTGTCTTTTCCAGCCTAGTGACCTCAAAAACAAAACAAAAGACTGCTACCATGGAATCACTTCTCACTCATAGAGACCCATATGCTTCAAAGTAGAATGATTTTCTTGGCTGTAATGGACTGTTAACCATGAGGTTGTTAGTTCAAACTTACCAGCTGCTCCATGGGAGGAAGATGAGATATTTTGCTCCCGTAAAGATTTATAGCTTAGATTCTCTAGAGAAGCAAAACCAGTGAAACTTAAATAAACTTATATATCAACTTATATCAACTTATATATCAAGAAAAATTATATCAAGAAAGTGGCTCACAGTTGTAGAAGTTGGAGAATCCCATGTCTGGGTCAGATGAACCATGATTGACAGGTAAGCAGACAGGTCTGGAATGCAGTAGGACCAACAAATAAGGCAAACTGTTGATGACTCCCAGGATAAGAAGATAATAGAGCAGAGCAGAGCACTAGTTCAAGCCCAAAGAAACGTTGCTTGGAGGATGAACCAGATGCAAGCTCCAGATCCAGCAGAAAGCAAACAAACTTTACCTGAGTGTCCAGTTTATTGGAAGCAGTTCACACCACCAGGAAATATCCTTTGAATTGATTGACTGCTCATAGCCGGTCACCATAGAGTTAATTTCATATACCTGCTCATAGCAAATCATCATAGAGTTAACCACATCCATTTGCTCATATCCAATTATCATACAGTTGACTATTAGATCTCACCTTCAGGATAACCACATTTCAGCTGCCAAGCCACTGGGAATCCCGGCCCAGTCAAGTTGACACAAAACCTTAACTATCACAGTTGTGATGAGTTGGAATTGACTGGGTGGCAGTGAGTGTGTTATCCTATGAAAGCAGATTAGTAAGCCTTTCTTCTTGATGCCATTTGTTGTTGTTAAGTGCTATTGAGTCAGTTCCAAATTACTGTGACCCTGAAGTGACTTGTAGGGTTGAACCACTCACCTTGCGATTAGCAGTATAGTGCTTATCCTACAATGCTGCACCAGGACTCCATGATGCATTCAAACTGCCAACTTTTTGGTTAGTGGCCAAGAGCAAACTGTGCAACATAGGGACCTATGGTGACCTCAGAGTAGGTGAATTTCTTACACGGTAGTTCAGGGTTCCAAGAGGACAGTTTCCAACCTAGCAAAGAGTTCACACAGAATCACTTGTATTGTATTCTATATATTATTCAAAACTGTCACAAAAGCCTGCCCATGTTCAATGAGAAGTATGTCAGAAAATGTGTGATTAAGTTTTAACACCATTTGTATTTGTTTCCTGTTGCCATTATAAGCAATAACTACAACAAGTGTCTAAAACCAGTACAAATCTGCTAAAGTCAATGTTGGTAGGTCTGTGTTTTATATTTTTGATGGGGAATACACTTTTTTTTTTAATGTTTTATTGTGAATTATGTGATAGTTTATATGGGAGAACATTAGCTTTACATTCATCCTATCGTATTTTCGCTTCATTGTCATGGTTACAATCCCCTCCATGCATCATCAACCAACCAAAGGGTATTCCCCAGGTCAGCACACAGCCCTCTCCTTCTCTGGGTCTAAAGTCCCAAGCAGATCCATCTCTCCACATCATCGTCTGCCTCCATCTCTGGTGTCTCACTGCTTCTCTGGGTAGGGTTCCACTCTCCGCTCTTCTCCCTTGATGGTCCCAGGGACCTCTGCTCCTAGACTGCAAAGTCAGTCACTCCCCTTCTTATGCTATAAAACGTCTACCTGTACATTTCCAACCCTCACAATCAGCCTGATAACAATTATTCACTATTGTATCACAAGAGACCTATCCGCATCTCCTTTCATCAGCCCCGCCCAGACAGATTGAATACTACTCAGTAGAGATTCTACCTTCCTCCATGCCCTCTGGATCTAGGTTCCCTCTTGAAAGCTTGTAAGCCAGTCACTTCTTGCCTTTGTGGCCCCACCCCATTTTGAGTAGTCAGTGTCCAAGTTGCTCATCCCTGTCTATTCTGTGTATGGAGGAGGTGGGAATGATCGTCACTGTGAAGATTTGTTCCCTCTTTTGAGCTACTGCAGCCATAGGTATAGGTCAAGTTCATCAAATTGGATCAGATTATTCTTTATTTCCTCTTCTTCTAGTTGAGCTCTGATCATGCAGTCATTGAAGCCAGGTCAGGTGGGTATTATCTGCAAGTGTGAGTGTACTTATGCATATGCCCTCTCTTCTTAACAGCTGGACACTTCACTCTCCACTCTAGTCCTCTGTGGTTATGTCACTGACTCTTGGCCAAGAGTCCCCAGGTCTTGCCACACTACTGGCCAAACAGGTCTTCACCCTGTTCACAGGAGTCAATTGAACATTGTAGGGCTCAGCTTGCAGCTTCATTGCTGTTTTTCCCTCACTTCCCCTTATTGGTGACTAATGTGGTCACCAATCAGAGTGTGTATTCCCGTTGAGTCTTAGTCTTAGTAGGGGGTTTGCCTTGAGGGGACCCGGCCACTTGCCTTGATGTCTCCTGGGCAAGCAGCTTGCTTGTTCTTGTGGTAATCTGTCAGACTGCCTATATTGTTTTGTGTTATTCCTGTGGGTCTTTCTTTCAAGAAGTATCTTCTATTCTTCTAGCTGCTCCAGGCTGGTCTGCTTGTCCTTTCAAGTGGAAATTTCTCACCTCAGAAGATTCTGGATGTGGTTCAGGATTCCACCTATAGTCTTATGTAATGCAGAGGCTCTGCAGAAAGCTTCCTTCACTGGGCACTCTGTAGCCCCATTTTAGGTATTCCAATCAGTTATAGGCAGAAGATGGACTTATAAGCTTTCTATGGTGATATTTCTGGCTATCCCTTTCTCACCCCGTCAAGTGTCTATTTTACAATACATGCCGGGAAACCAAGATTCAAAAGACAGCCAAGCATCTTAACATTATTTCCCCCCTTCTCCCCATTCCAACCATGTTTCAATCCCTGTATCCCAGAGCCCTGCTGTCCCAAGGTTTTGTACACATTATTTACCTCTGTCCCACTTAGCCCATGCAAACCTGCCTAATTGTTTTCCTGTCTGCTTTGTTTTTCCATTCCCCTCCCCCTTCTTGTGTATTGCCCCCCTCCTTAGTACCCAAACT